CTAAGTAATTCAATCATTTGTTCATTTTCCAACCCTCTTATTCCCTTTTGGGGTTACAGGGGTCTGCCGGTGTCTATTTCCAGCCCACATCGGGCGAGAGGCCGGGGTACACCCTAGACAGGTAGTCAGTCCATCGCAGGGCAATCGCAGGTGAATCCATAAATCTAGAATATGCATTTGCAAGGAAACGGACCCCGGTCCCCCACATGGCAAATGAGAATTCTACCACTAAACCACCAATGTTTAGCTAAATAACAAGTAGACCAAAACGTCAAATCATTTAAACTAAATTATTATTATAACTATTACCAAATTTAAAGCGTGTTTTGAACATTTTTTTGTAATTGTCAGATTGATTTTAAATAGGTGCGAAAAAAATCTATTTAAATCACAAATCGTTTTTTTGTGTGTAAAAAAAACTATGTAATATAGTTTAAAATTACACAGTTTTTTAGCACAAAATTTTAGCACTAGATTATTTTCTAGAAAACCTGCTCATTTAAGTGTACAGTGAATGAAGAAATTTTATGAAAAACTGATTTAAAACAAGAAAGTTTTGCATAGTCATTGACACCCATAACTTCGTTGTTAAAGATTCTTTTTCACAATCAAGAATCAAGATATCTTACAAAGGTAAAAGGGCTTACTCCTTTTTTTGTAATCCGTAATACTTTTCTAAATGCGTCAAAAATTGTAGTTTTAAGTTTAGTGGCAAAATCCAAAGTTTCTTCTACAAAGTTTCCTAATTCAAACAAATAAAAAGATCAGAATGAGCATTTGTTTTTCTTGGTAATATTTTCTCTAAATATTCGAATTAATCAATACTCTACAAGTGAAATCTAGATAATTGTTCTAGAAATAAGAAAATCAAGATTTGGTGAAAACTCCCATTTTTCAGTGTTCACGGCTTCATAAATCTATGTGCTGTTTATTTGTGCGGCTCTCCGCTGGTACAGTTTGCTTCCTGTAAGAAGCATTGATCATCTCTAGAGCATGAGGCTTTCAAAGGTCTTCAATCACCCCGCCATAACCTAACATCTCAACAACACGCTGTCACGGCTGGGGCACTGGCCTCTGCTGAGGTTCATTCAATAAATCATCCTTTGATGGCTTGATGTGCTTTATCTAATTTTCTCAAGAATTATACATAATATAAACTTGGCAGTCTTCCCTGGTTTGAAAGTAAATGCGGAAAGCAAGGTAAAAAAGCATTCTCTTATTGGTTATATACAGCCATAGATGTACTGAAGAGCGTGACATTAATCTCCTGCCTTTCGCAGCTGGGAGAGTAATGTAAAACTGAGGGTCCTGTAAAATGAATTAAGTATTCCAAGCATGAACTTTTCTCCCAAAATGCCATGAATCCTCCAGAGCTGATAATGTGCCCTGACCCAGAGGTGTGAAATCCTTGTTATGTTGAGAGTTGCCAGTTAATTGATTTGCAAATTATTTAAAGTTTGTGGGGCCCAAGGGAGCGCTTGGCTCTAATGATGCTCATTCCCATAGTTTCCTTCCCTCTGTATCGCACTGCCTCGGTGCATTGTAATAAGCTAATACACATTATCGAAGATTTACAGCACATTTTCCTCTGTAGGAAAAGCTCAAGTCGTCTCGAGGCACTTAGGGAAACCAAAGCTGTGACCGTGATGCATGGATAAATTAAATATAAAACTCTTAAGTGTATTGTTAAAAATAGTAATAAATAGACCTACTTTAATGTGTCTAATATTGATAAATGGTGTAAATAAAACATAATGATGCACTTTAAATGAACCCTTTATCAGATAAAAGTGCACTTTATTATTTCATAAAATTTATTTTATTCACATATAATATTTCCATAAAAAGTATAATAAATGTAGTTTTTAAATACTTGTGAAATGAACAGTTCTACCAACCAACTTTAATAATAATTTAATGATAATTTTACTTGACTTCATTTTATAATTTTTCTTTAATTTTACTTAAAAAGTCACATACATGTGCACACAAACAAACAAATGTATTCACTTCATTTGGTGTTTTCTTCCATTTACAGTTTTGTATTAGTATTAAGCATTTTGTATTTAATTAAGATTTTTTTTTGCATCCATGGCAAACCAATTAAGCCAAAGTTCTTTTTTCATTTTCAGTCCAATTGCATTAAGGACAGAAGAACTTGCGATATTATGTTGGCTGACCACCTGCAGAAGCATATGTGAAAAGAGGGTTTGTTCTGTTGTTTTGGAGTCAGGGCGGCTTCTCAAACTTGATTAGAAACGGTGTGCATTTCGTTGTTGGGTTGATCTGATTGACGTATCTCGTTTTATCCTATTTTTTCGTTTGTGGATTGCTAATACATGCCTCTCTGTAAGATTGGCGATATTTTTAGATCTAAATAGCTGAGTGCATCTTGTTATCAACATTTTTGTTCATGAAGATGGCAACAAGGCTGAGGTCACCTGCACATATTAAACATGACATCCACAGAAGTTCCTTGGAATACTCCAGGAAGATTCTCCTAGAAAGTTCCCTTCCCTTTACTCTCAGTGCATCTAATGGAGCTTTTCCTACATTTGTTTGGCTTTTTTTTTAGCTTTTTTTCACTTTTTTTTAAGTAATCCGTTTCTGTTAAGGTGCTTTGGTAGTAAAACAATCTGGTGATATTGGCGCTAACAATCTAGCGCTGGAAACATACCAACAGTCTCAGCTTGCTCACTTTGCAGCAATAGCTGAGTTCATCTGGTTCGTTCAAAGTAATATTGTTAGTAATATTGTTAATAAACTCTGCATCAATCAATCAATCATTTGAATGTCATTTTGAATCTAGCAGAAGCTTAATGTAGCCTTCCCCTTTCATTAAGTTTGAGACCTGCCATAATTATAAATCAATAATTAATTGTTGCGTTTTTAGAGACTATAAAAAACCTATATAGTAATGAAATGAAATTATGGCATTTTATAGGTAACAGATCATGGATCTATAATATTTTGTGTAAACAAAGGAAGTATTTTTGAAATTGGGATTTTTAATGTTAACCCTTTGAAGTCTGTGGCTTTTTGCTGCATTTTCTACACAATAATTATAAGTATTAGGGCAAAACTACAATTCATAACCCCCTCCCCTTCCCCACAAAAGCAAAGATAAGGTCAAATAATAAAAAAAATATACAAACAAATAAATAAATAAATCAGCCAAAGGTTTTCTAAATTTTATACTTTGTATGTTTTTTGTGCCATTGTGCTTTCTATATGCCAGAACTTTGAAAAACACAAGCCATATCACAGGTTTTGTACTTAGAAAGCACAACCCTTTCTTTAGGAAGAAAGCAGCTTTTTTTTCTAAATTTAACATTCCGTTTTGGAAACAAACTCACATAAGTTTGTTGTGACACCTTCACATTATTGAGTCTGAAAAAAGCATAAGAGCAGGAAACCCACAAGGGCTTGATGTAGTTAATTGATTTGTTCCACTGCTGTAAGTTAAGAGTCCTCACCGTTCCCAAAGCTAGTGTGTTTAGTAATGTGTCCATTAGAGGAGGGAGATCCTCAGTCGCTAGAACAGCACAGGAAAGGTGCATGCCGTCTAACCCCCTAAGTGGCTGTGTGTCTTTGCTAATATAAAAGAGACCCTGAGCCCTCATTAGCCAGTGCTGTCATTCAGACACAGAGTGTCGGCTTGATTTAAATAAAACGAAATGAAGATAGTTCTTTCTGGTCCCCTGGCTTCCCTTATTGCCATAAACATATGCTCTGTGCACCGCTTCTTTCCATCTTATTTATGACTTTAATTTGTTGTGTGGGCTGCGCTGGAAATCAAATTTAATACAATCCTCCCAGGCACCCTGTCATATAATAACATGGTAATTTCTGTGTATCCTTTTGAAAAATGAGGAAATTAATTCTTCCTGACATGTTCTAATTATTCCAGTGTGAACAGGCAAATCCAACCTCTCTTTCTCTCTCTCTCGCTGATAAGTGTCAGCGGCAGACGTGCAGCCTCGACGGGCATCGAGGTGCTAATGCTGACCAGTAGTGCGTTTAATTTAAAACATGAGCAGACACCTTTCAACACACCTTCCTAATGTTGGGGTGCTCCGCGCAAATTAATTCACGACTCATCAGGGGGGTGTGCACTTGTGAGTAAGAGATAGGACACGTTAGTCAGAGTGTATTTAAAGGGGTATGGGCTAGGGAAACCCCTCTTTCTCTCTCTCTCTCTCTCTCTCTCTCATGGCTACTTTTGTAATGGAGGTGAGAGTGTGTGTGTGTGTGTGTGTGTGTGTGTATGTGTGTGTGCTCGTGCCACAGGAACACCCCCATGAGATGGTTTTGGATCTGTGGATGGAGGTTTATCCCTCTTGTTCCCTGAACTGTCAAAACCTTTTCGCACCTTTTGTGACTCATAGGGATCATTTCATTTGGCTTATTTGTCGCCCGTTGAAGATAATGAAGATAAAGATTGTTTTTGCTAAATTCAATTCGATTTCTTGCTTTCTTCTCTCTGGACACTGTGGTTTTTCTATGAGTTTAGCGGAGTTAAGAGATACTTTATTTAGAAAGAGCTCTAAATTAAGATTTATTTTATGATACAAACAATCAATTTGACTTCTTCCAAACTGCAATGAAGCTGGTAAAACTTATAATTTCAAAGCAACGGTAATCAATTCTTTGAGTTTGGAATCCATCTTTAAACTGTTGTAACAGTGTACCCCTTGTGACCACAATAACTATAAACTGATTTTTCTTAGCTGAGCTATAGATATTTACGTTTGGTTGCTAGGTGAAACAATCGTGTTGCTATGGAAGAATCAATGATGTCATTAAAAAGTTCTCACTAAAACTGATTTATACTAAGTCTCATGTCCCTAGCATTTTTGAAGCGTAGATGTAGATATGCTGATTTGGTTACTAGGGTAAAAAGTTTAGTTGCCACTGGTTTAGTTGCCATATTGTCATAGTAGCCGACTTATAGTTGTCACAATAAGTTCTGTAAACAAACCCCCATGCCTCTATCATATACCAAAGGTGTGATAGTTTTCAGAAATGTTGGTCGCTAGGGTAAACAGTTTGGTTGCCAGGGAGCCACATTTATGATTCATAGCCTTTTTAATCCTTTTCAATTGTAAAAATGTAACCCCTTCTAAAGCCTAGGATTCAAATACTTTTGCACAGTGATTAGTGTGGTTTGACCCAATGTAAAGTCAATGGAGCATTTCCCAGCATTTCTCTTAGGGGTACCAGTCTGAAAAGAAAAAGCAACC